CTTAACTGATGATGCTACATTGAGTATTGATTGTGGATCCAATAAAATTAAATGCTTGACTACTTTTGTCTTTTCTCCATCTATTATAATGTTGCCTGTTGGGTGGATTTTTGCTTTCTTGATGTTGAGGTTAAATCCATATTGAAAGTCATAGTCATTCATTTCTGAAATGTCTCTCAAACTCATGGCTGTAGAATCCGGTCCAATTCATAGCTGACCCTCCAAAGGGTTATCAGGAGGCTACAAACGTACAGGAGGAGATTGACCATCTTTCTCCCTTGGATCCCCTGGTGAATCCAAACCAGAATGACATGACCTTTCTTTGTGTTGACAGTGAAACTCTCTATAGACTGTGCCACTAGAATCCCTCAAAAATCCTACAAATAAAAGGTCCTGCTTTTGTTGTTGTGTACCATTGAATCAGAACCCATAGCTGACCCTTTAGCAGGTTTTCAGAGGCAGTTAATCGCACAGGAGGAGATTGCCCATCCTTCTTTCACGAAGCAGCTCGCAGACACATACCATGTGCCTTTGGGATTGCAGCACAGATTCTTACCACTAGGCTACCAGTCTTGCTTACACCTGTAAAAAAAAGAGGTTGGGGAGCTCTGGTGGCCTAGTGACAGAAAGCTGTACTGCAATCCCAGAGGTGCGGGGTTTAACTCCACCAGATGCTCTCTTCGAGGAGGAAAATTCTCCTCCTGTACCAGTCAGATCCAGTTTGATGGTACACACACACACACACACACACACACACAATAATAAAAAGAGGTTGGACAACAGATCACTTATATATAGAAATCACTTTTGAGGACAAGTGTCAACCTTATGTGAAATGATAACATTGACTTAAGACCCAAAATTAAGGGACTATATGGGTTTTTTTGGTCTATTCAACCCTCTCGACAATAAATCTGTATTTAAAATAACATGTGGCATAAATTTGTTTGGATTTCCAGAAGCTAAACCTGTTCTTAACATAGAGTCTGTAGAAGTTTCTTTTTGGAAAGAAATCTGATGCTAAGAAATGTCTTAGGACAAGGAAGCATCATCCTCCTAAAATTCAAGCACAATGATCCCAAATTTATTAGTTCTCTATTATTATTATTAATTAAAGTTCATTATTATTTTGTTTAGAGAAAAACAAAATCAGGCAAGCAAGCATGCAGACAGACAGAATACACTACTCTGTGTCACTTACTAGACATCCTTTAGTGTTTTCTCCCCCTTCATCATTGTCCCATCTGGCACTGTAGTCTTTAAGGAGTTACATTGCCAGCCCCGAGTCAGAACCTCTGCTGGTTCAAATCCAGGAGTGGCTTGGTAGGAAAAAGATGGGCAGTTTCCTCTTGTGCACTTTACAGCCTTCTGAAAATCTTCTGGAGACTTAGCAGTGAGTTGGTAAGAAATCAGCATCAATGAGTTTGAACTGTGTTTTGAGTCTCAGTTGTGCATTTAGAACCGACAAAACTGACTCCATTTATCACATCTGGGATTGTCTTTGCTAAGCTGTAGGCTGTAATGCCAACAAGTAGTAATAGGATGCTGTGTTGTGTTGTTGTTATGTACTATTAAGTCAGAACCACCCCATAGCTGAGATTGCCCATCCTTCTCCCATGAAGTGGCTAGATTCGAACTGCATGCCTTTGGGATTGCAGTGCATCTTCTTACCACTAGGCCACCAGAGCTCCTAGTAATAGGAAAAAGAGGAGGAGAAGTAATTTTAGTAATTGTTATTTTAGTGGTAGGCAAGCACTACTAGGAGTTCTGGTGCCATTGTGGTTAAGTGCTAGGCTCAGTGGTTTGAACCTATCTGAGAAAAATACTCCAATAAGGAACATTTCTTAGAGGACCAGTGTGAGTCAGAATAGACATGATGGCACACAACTAACATTATTTTACAATTATTATTCTTAACTATTTCCTCATAGATGCCATTTTTAACCATTTACAATAAAGGAAACTGAATAAAGAGAGGTTGAGAAACTTGCTCAGTTTGTAGGTAGATGTAGAGCTTCAATCCATATTGAAGGCTGCAATCCTTGACCTTCTGCAGCAAACACCTTATGTGTTCTTCAATTTCAGCAAGTAAGGTGGTGTCATCTACATAACACAGGTTGTTGACTCCTCTAATCATGATGCCACATTCTTCCTTGTAGAGCCCAGCCTCCCAAATTATCTGTTCCACATATAGATTGAAAAGGTAGGGAGATAGGACAAATCCCTGGCATACACCCTTCCTGATTTTGAACCATGCAGTGTTTCCTTGCTCTATTCTGATCATATAGGTAATCATCAGATATGGCACAGCAACTATACTATGTACTAAAGTTTGAGAAGTATCCCAATATATTGTGCCATAGTATTTTACTGTTTAAATATTTATCCAGTGTGGAACAAATGACTTGGGAGGCTAAAAACTTTATGAAGAAGAATGTGGCATCACAATTGGAGGAAGGCTCATCAACAACCTGTATTATGCCTATGATACAACTTTGCTCACTGAAACTAAGGAGGACTTGAAGTGTTTGTTGCAGAAGGTCAATGACTACAGTCTTCAATATGGATTCTATCTTAATATCATGAAAACAAAGACTCCTACTACTGAACCAATAGGCAGCATCACAATAGATGGAGAAAACAGTGAAATTGTTAACAATTTAATCTTGCTCAGGTCCACAATCAATACTCTTGGCACAAGCAATAAGGAATCAAAAGATGCATTGTTTTAGGAAAGTCTGCTCTCAGAGATATCTTCAGAGTGCTGAAGAGCAACAGTTTCCTTCTAGAGACTAAGGTGCATCTAATCCAGTTGCTTGCTATGCATTTGAGAGCTGGACAGGGAATAAGGATAATGAAAAAAGAATTTATGCCTTTGAGTTGTGGTTCAGGAAGAGTGTTGAACATACTTACCGTGGACTGATGAGAATAAACAGTTCTGTCCTGGGAGAGATTAACCAGTTTGCTCCTTGGAGGCAAAGATTTTGCAACTCCGTCTCACATCCTTTGGGTGTGGTATCAGGAGGGACCATTCCTTGGAAAAGGATATCATGCTTGGAATACTAAAGACTATGCATGGGAGAAGAAGACCACAAATGAGATGCATTGACTCAGAGACTGTGGCCGTGGAGCCAAGTGTGTCAGCAAGAATGATTGGTTTATAATAGAGCAGGGTCAGAGCTGTTGTTCATAGGGTCATTAAGAGTTATAGTCAACTTGATGGCACAGAACAACAATAATACAAATCCTCTTTTCTATCCCTGTTACCCTTGCCCTGTAATTTACATTAGTCATCTCTCATCTGAACTTTTAAAAGAAACTTCCAACCTTTCTCCTTAACCCCCATTTTTGTCCCCTCTCAAAATTGCCTTCCACCCAAATTGCTATCCAGGTAGACTTTCAGAAAAGCAGATTAAGTTAAGTCCTAACTCCATGGCTTCTAATTCAAAAAATTCTCTATCATCTGATTAGGTGCAGCCTGCCCATCCAGCCATTTCTGCCACTGTCTCCGTCCCAACCTTGACCCTTCAGCAACATCAAGGTGCTTAATGCACCATGCGTACGCTTGTTTCTACACTGGCATATGCAGTCTCTTCTCTTTGGGGACACTATGTTCCATTCAGACTAGACAGCCCTGACCGCTCTCCAGACTGTCTGGGTCCTCTTTGTTCTCCCATTTATTTAATGCACATCTCTGTTGTTGGGCTTCCATGATCTTTTATACTTTATGTTTCTGATTCCCCAGTTAGAGTATAATTGAGTATGGAAAACAAGAGCTGTCCATTTTTTTATTTCTGTGTCATTGGTGTTTGGTCTTTGTTTTACATTTATCTGTGCTTTATTGTAAATTCTATGTATTGACATTTCAAAACATAAATAAAAGTATTATGTACCTTCTGTGGTGGTAGTTATTATGTGCTGTCATGTCACAGCCAACTTACAGCTAACCCTCCAGTGGTTTTCAGAGGCAGTAAGTCACACAGGAGGCGACTGCCCATCCTTCTCCGGTGGAGCAGTTGGTGGTTTTGTACCAGTGCATTGGGGAATTCAGCACAGCTATTTACCACTAGGCCACATTGTATTTCAAGGACAGAACAGCTATTACTAACATCAGCTCCACATTGCTGGTTTGGGTTTTTCTTCTATCACTTGGTGGTTTTGTTACCTTTTTTGGAAATAGAATTCAGGTAAGTTTATTACCGTATTCTTTAGTCTTGAGGAGGTAGAAACCCCACCAAAAAACAAACTCAAGAACAGTAAATCAAGATTTTCTTCTGGTCCCACACAAACATCTCTTCTTAGGGTCACATTGAGCTGCCACTGATTTCAGGGGAGTCTTTAGAAGTCACCACTATGGCAGAAGACATCAAGACCAAAATCAAGAACTACTGAACTTCCCCCTTTTAGTAGCTGCTTCCCCACCCAGAACCACGCCAGGAACTGCTGGTAGGACTGCCTAGATTTCCACAGCTGCAAGAAGGCAGTGACTGCTAAAGGTGGTGGTGTCTCCACGTGTAAACGGTAACAGCACGTGTACAAGTCCCTCTGCCCGTGTCCTGGGTGTCAGACTGGGATGACTGCAGGGCAGAAGGCACATTCCCTGAGGAGATCTGAACTAACCCACCTTACCTCTCTCCCATAATCTTGAATTGTGACTTAACTAATAATAAAAATTACTGGAAAAGTGGGGGGGGGGTGAAGGAAGAATAGTAATGTCAAATGGTAAGCATGTGCATTTATTATACAATTTAGGAGTGGCAAGTTCTGGTGGCCTAGTGGCAAGAAGCTGAATTGCAATCCCAGAGGTGCAAAGTTTGAATCCACCAGATGCTCTGCTGGAGGCGGGACAATCTCCTCCTGTACCAGTCAGGTCCGATTTGACAGTATATACACACACAAATAAGAATAAGAAAAAAATTATAATTTAGGAGTAATCAATTCTAATTTCTGAAGTTTTCAATGTTGATTGATTAAATTATGCATATTATATTTTAGGAACAATGGGGAAAGATACAGTCATTGCAAAGCAGGAGGAAAATAATAAGTATTGCTTTCAAGACAGCAATGATAAATTACCAAACTCAACAGATGATGGTGAACATGAGCCTGATGATGATGATGAAAACAGGAACCCTAATAAAAGTACTCGTGCCCCATTGGAGTTAATGACAGAAGTAAGTTTTACTTGTGGAATGTAATTTAAGAAACCTAAAAATAATTGAAATAACAACATTGTATACTGCCTTTAATTTTTTTTAAAAAAAGTAGTATAAAGGCTTGTCCACACACAGATGTTTTTCTGGCTATTCATCTTTCTTGCTACTAATGCCAGGTTAGAGGTAAAGCTGGTCCTGGAAGTAACATACAGTATTCTGGCAGGGCAGAGGCAAGAGTTAGAGAAGTTTAAGTGGAAAACTGTTAAATGACCTTTTGCTGAATCTTTCTCCATAATAGCTGCTGAAGTTAAAAAAATAAGTAAGACATGTCCTTGACTTCTAAGAACTAATAGGCATAGATGTATACATATAGAAATAGAGATATAGAAATAGTTACTAGAAAAATATTAGGGATCTCTGGTGGCTTAGTGGTAAGAACCTGTGCTGCAATCTCAAAGGCACTCAGTTCAAATCCACGAGCTGCTCCACTAAAGAAGGATGGGCAATCTCCTCCCACACGATTACTGCTTCTGAAAACCTTCTGGATGTTCAGATACATATATTGAAATAGTTACTAAAAAAATATTTACAGTGTTATCTGGGAACAGAAACGGTTAGTTGCCTGGAAAAACAAGGAGGAGCTCAGGGAGTATGGGGAGGATTTCTAGTTTTAGAAACTTGAAGGAAGGCAAACATGAGCAAATTTATCTTTTAAAGAAGTGGAAAGGGTGTTCTTGATATAAGAATACCATGTTCAAAATCTTTGTACTGACTGTTTTACACTGAGCAAAATATTAATGCATTTATGGGTTTTTTATAGTTTGATAAGATTTTGTATTGAATATAATTTCATTGTATGGATTTACCTTAGTTTGCTTATCCATTCACTTTTTGAAGGCCATCTTGGTTACTTCTAGTATTTGGCATGTATGAATAACATTGTTATAAAAATTCGTGGGAAGATTTTTTTAATAGATGTGTTATTAGCTCTTAATTAAACACTAAGAAGCACAATCGATGGATCATATATAAGATAAACCTGCCTTTAGCGTTACAAAAAACTGCCAGATTCTCTTCCAAGGTGGCTGTCATCTTACATTCCCACCAACAATGAATGAGAATTTGTGTTGTTTCACTTTCTGATTATCGTTTATTATTGACATTTTTGGAGATTTTGCCCTTTCCATAGATTATAAAGTCACATAATTTTATTGTTTTAAGTTATAAATTCTAAATGCCATGTTGTTGTTGTTATGTGCCATCAAGTCGTTTTCGACTCATAGCGACCCTATGCACAACAGCCCTAAACCCTGCTCTATCCTGCGCCA